AAAAAAAAAAAAAAAACCAATCACATTAAGAACAATTAGTAGTAAGCAAATACATGACCAAAAACCAGAGGAAGAGGTTAGTCCACAGCAAAGAAGAATGAAGAAAACCAAAGATGCATGGAAACAATACATCCAAGGGACTGGGAGACCATGCGATCCTCAGCCTATATGTCCATGAGACAAGAAGAACTAGATGGTGCCCAGCTACCATTGTCAATCACTTGGAGGGGGATCAGTGCAGGAGATCCTGGATAGAGTGGGAGAAGAGGGTGGAACAAAACTCAAAATTATAAAAAAAAGACCAGGTTTGCTGGTCTGACAGACCCTGCTGAGATTCTTGAGACTATGGCCCCTAGCCACGTTTCAGGTCTGGAACTGAACTCACTCCTGTGGCTTCCAGCCAAACAACAAACAGGCATATGGGGGTGAACATTTCCATAAGGTAGATATACTCCTTGGAGCAATCAATCCTGGGAGAACAGAAAGGCAGTGTGTGCACAGGGAAATACCTCAGGGGTGGGAATGCATGGGACGGAAGGACACAGGGAAGAGGTAACTATGGAGAGAAAGTGGAAAGAGAGCTGTTACCTTGTGGGAAATTGCAGTCAATGTCATGAGACAAAATATGTATGAACTGTTATATAGGAAATGAATTTGCTCTGTAGACTTTCACCCAAAAGGAACAGAATATGAAGCTTAGCTGAGTGTCCTAGCAGGCAAGGCAAAAAAGAGGGGAAAAGTTAACTACTGCATGCCCACAGAGGGTGACAGAAGCTATCCTAGTCTCATTCCTGATCTCAAGGGGAAAGCTTCAATATTTCACCACTGACTATGAGGCCTGCTATACTTATTTTTGAAGAAAGTATTTACCATATTAAAGACTTTCTCCTTTATTTTAGTTTTCTAAGATTGTCTTTTAATTCCTAAATACCTGATTTCAGTCAAATGTTTTCTGTGTTGATCAAAATGATCAAAAAGTTCTGTTTAATGTTAATGTAGTTAATTACACTGAATTTTAAACATTTGCAACTTATTTTAAAAATTAAATCTACAGATGCTTATGTTTTTTTAAAATAAAATCACCATTCCTATATGCACATAAACAAATGTATTCTTTAATTCTTTTTTCTTTCCTCCTAGATAGATTCCTTAAAATTACTCCTTCCTTTTTAAAATTTTCTTTGAAAGTTTTTCTCCAGTTAACTTTCAATAAAATTATTTCATTTCATATCTCACTATTAACAAGTATTTTTTAAACAAAAATTTTGTTCCACATAAGCTTCATTAAGAGTTGATTTTTTGAGAGATCCGGCAAGATGGTGGACTAGGCAGAAAGCCTGCACAGACCCTCTTCAACAAAGAAAAGGGAAACCAATTAACACAGACACAGAAGATAATCCTGGACCCCTGAGCCTTGACGGGAAGGATATAGAAGTGGACTAAACCCTAACTAGCAGAAGAATTTTTGTGAAAATACCAAAAAAGGAGACAGACAGAGCTGCGATCTGGCAGCGATCCTGATGGCACAGACAGCTTGGAGATTCCTGAGTGGTGGTAGGACCTAAGAACTAACCTAAAAATCACCCTGCTAGCCAGGGACTGCATGGAGGACTGTGCACGGTTGCTGGGGAACAAACGGAGAAAGTAAAGAGAAAGGTGGGCTGAGCTATAGACTTTTGCTGGTCCAGAGGGCGCCACCATTTTGAAGGTTTAAAAAGCAGCTTGACTATTTTGGATATTTAAAGAGACAGCGCTCTCTCAGATTCCTGGGGCTTAAGAACACGTTCTGCTTTTCAGCAACCCCAAGGACACTCGGGACCTGCAAGACTGATAAGGTATGATGTTCCTCTTGTTACTCTTATACCCCACACTTACTTGGTGAATGGAGGTGTGGCCATCCCCAACTCCCACCTACCTTCTGGGCCCACAGGAACTCCATCACAGTCTGTGTGCTCAGACGGAGCCTGGGTGCCCTGCCCTGTCCTCCACTGATTTTTTTTTCTTTTTTTTAATTTTTTTCTTTTTCACTTTCTTTTTTCTGGTGATTAGTCTGCTTGTATTTGTCTGTTTTAAAAC